GTTTTGATTGTCCAAGAGTGTGTGGTTGTGCACGTGGTGCAGGTATATGAGTACACGAAACAATCGCCGTCGAGTATACGATAATAATATTTGTTACTAATCTATACCGGAACGAAGATAATTACGTCAAAAAATAAACAATCGACGATTATGAATCTTATGAACTATTAACGTCCGGTCGTTCGACGACGGCTAATATTAAATACTATGATTCACACTAATTTTCGTTTTATGATATTAATGGTTACTAATATTATAATATAATACGCGTATCGACGAAAATGAGATGTACATTGAGTGTGCCGTTCGGTGCGCTCGTATAATTAGCAATGATTGGTTTCTCATTAGTTGTTAACAATTCTACGTAATTACCATATACGACAGATTTGCTATAATCTATAACATTTTATTAGTCATATCGTTTAATTTTCACATTTTATTATTATGACATAATATTATTATAGGCTCTACCATCTATATAGTTGTTCGATGCATAGACAGTTGTATAGTGGCGATCGTACAGTGCTCGACGAAACGTGTTTCGCGTATATACAAAGGTACGCTACAGCTTTTTTAACGATCGATGTTCGTTTGAAGAGAATAACTGCGAATTAATACTGTTGAGTTCGTCAATCCTGAAATACAAATAAATCGTAGTATGCGCTTTGTTTCTCAATTGTTGTGATCATAATGGCTCAATTCTTTTCTTCGATGCATTCCAACGAGACGTTGCTTAGACATTTTCAAAAAATCTCATTTCGTTCGGAAAATTTCAATCGCCAAGTAAGTAATTTTTGGTTTAGATTTTTTCCTTCAAACACGTCTATAGTTACTCGATAGAGATTTATACATAAGTTTATTATTACATCGTCTATAGAATAATCCAGTTATATTGTTGGTCTCCCGCCGCGCCTTGTGCATAACAATAAACGAACTATATTTTCAATAAATTCTAATATCGTACTCGTACTGCAGCGGTCAATAAATTAATCGAATTCGTATTTTCAACCGATTCACACATTAGTGGAAAGTCTCTCTCTATTTTACACACTCTTATTTTTCCTTCTATACTCTATCGCTCTTGCGCTCTAGTTTTTGTAATTGAACCCTGCAAATAACGTATCGAGACCGGATCGTTTTTCAACTCTGAGGGTAAACTTCTCAAATTTATTACTCGGATCGATACTCCGACAGAGTGTTAGCATGTGGTAGACTATAGACTATTATCATTGTCGTCAGTATTATTTTTTATTTTTTATTCGGACGTCGGCGGTGGCGCCCAAGTCGGGCAACCAAACGTACGACGCTGCCACCGTTTTTATTGCCGTCCCCGGCGCACCGTTACAACCGCCCCAGCGGGTCACGCACACGCCTTTTAGCCCCGTCGTTATAGTCACGTAAAACTTAAACACAAAAAAATAATAACGCTGAAAACTCTGTCGGAAAATTGTTGAACGGTGCCTAGTTTTCTCGGGTCTGCAGTGGGTGCTGCAGGTGGTGTGTATTGCAAAATATAATAGACCTATCCCCGCAGGTCGCACAGTGCCGCAGTGGTTATTTTTCTCGTACCTTTACCACTATGTCGTTCTAATAATAATAATTAAATAATAAATAATTATTGTCATCGTCAAAAATCGTCACGGCGGCAAAGTAAAGACGTGTCTGTTTCGCGGGTGCGATTTTATTATGCGCGGCGTTTGGCGGCTAATGATGAGCGGCGGCGGCGGCGGCGCGTTTAGAACGGCCGAGAAAATGAGCACGTTCAAAGCAGGGTCCAAGGTAAATAATGATTAATGACGATGAAAAGTCGTACCGATAACTGCAAAATACCTGCCAATAACGATGAGATTACAATCGATTCGACAATATTCGTTACCTATAATTTAATATGAATAAAACATTTACAATAGTATTAAAATATAGGTAGTAGAGGTGGGTCGAACTCAAACCGAACATGTTTCGTTCAATATCGAACTGAATCCGTAAACCAAACATTATTCCGTTGAATGGCGAACTGAGCCCGAGCAGAGGTTTTGTATTAAATTGAGAAAAAAACTTTTCAGCTTAAGTCGAATCCAAGTATAAACATTTTTTGTTCGAAACGTGTTGGACGCGTTCGGGTTTTTTTTAAAACTGGGTTCGATTTTTCTATCCACCTCAAAAAGGTACCACCTAAATTGTTTAAAAAATGACATTTTAATATTATTAATATAATATTGTCATGTGGCACCGCTGTGTACTCGCGCGGCGGCGCTAAAAATACAGAGAATTCGATTTCGGCGGCGGCGGCCAGTCGAGTCTTTTTTTTTACATTCTCATACGGTGAGAATAAATCAAACGAGTGTTGTGCGTCTTGGCAAGTCAGCCAAATTTATTTCGGTGCCTTGCCGCCTCCGACACAACATAATATTATACGTACACGGCGTACACTGGCGAGGAAGTTTTTTTTTCTCTTATCCATTTATTTTTCCCTCCGTCTCCGGCCAAAATAACCGACAAACGAGACGAAACCCGATTCACGGCCAATCGGTGTTCTGCGTGCGGAAAAGGGGAAGCAAAATAATATAATATTCTCTTCGTCTTTCTGGCCGCCGCCGTATGCGCGAAACGACGCCGCCGCGGCACGTCCTTGAACCGTTCGCCACGAACGCCGCTTGCGCGTGAAACGAAAACAATAATAATGTTATTATTATTATTATTATTATTGTTATTGTTTTACACCTATCGACCCGGCCCGTAATGTTTTCATATTAAATAGGCAGTAGAATATAATAATTGTATGGCACAAGGGATAAAAACAGTAGAGTACTTATACAATATTGTCAATATTGTTATATTTTTTGGTCGTCTGCGCATTGGTGAATACAACAATAATAATAATTAATATTATTTTGTGTATACAATAATGTAGTCCATACAATCACCGCCGTGACTCAAGTTGAGTACCCAATTTGGATTTCATACGATTCCGAACACTGCTATACGGAATAAATATTATTATTGCGACTGCTGCTGGCAATCGACGACGGCGATGGTTGATAACGCGTGTAGGTACGTTTAATTTTTTAGTCAGAATTTTGATTTTACTCGAATTCTCTATCTGTAGTAGATTATCTATGATATCTTGCATTATAAAAAAAAAACAATTATTGTTCTATTTGTTGGACTGAATACAATATATTATGATTATAATATTATTGCGAATTACAAAGTTTTCCACAAATAATGATTATATATTATTGTTATCAAAGCCAGTCGTGCGATTTTGTTTGCAACGACGTTTCAATATTTTATAATGGCGTCTTTAAACGTAAATAATATTTAATAATATCTACTTTAATAATTTATTACCTTTCATACGCATTACAGTGAAATGTCATTGGAAATCGATCTATATAGAGAAGTCGTTATTGCTATTTGATGGCGTTTAATAATTGTTTATTGGACTCCGTTGAATGCGAATTGCAAATTAGTTGCTGAAAATATTCAAGGACTTCTAAATCATGTGTAATTTTCAATTCACTATATCGATTGATTGATTCTGCGAACGTAGGACGTAAAGTAAATAAAAAATACTATGTAAATTCCAGAACGTAATTTCACGTATAGGTATAGCCTTATTGTACGATCGGTATTTTTTTGCCATCGCCGTTTCATTTGATCGGATGTTTGTTTTTTAAAATAATATTTTTAGGTACATCGATTTGATTTTAACACTATACGGACGAAGGCATCCTGTATAGTGGCAATTAAGAAAAAATCGTATTTTTCATAATATATACAGTATACGAGATTCTTTTATTTGTGCTTGGCATTTAAATTTTAATTTCCAAGAACTCGGAATGAAGAACCCGTCAGATAAGTTCTATAATAATATAACATTCGTTAGCATACAGCGTTGTTTTTACCGTTTAAAAATAAATCATTAACATTATCTATTTATTGCTAAAATCTGTGAAAGTGTAAAAGTTAAATAAATTGATGTTTGTAGCCTTAGGATTCTGCACAAACAAGAGTGTGTGTGTTTCTATACAATTCTGATTATATTTTATTCACGCAGTGTTGGGGAGATAAGGGTTGGATATAATCTAAAATAGTCAAACTCCAACATTCTAATTTATTTGGGGGCTTGCGTTGGATACGTTGATTATTTATTATTAAACGGTAAAGTACATGCCTAATGATATTTAAAACGGGTTTTAAATTATATTCAAAATATGTAGCGACGGAAATCATGCCGGAGGATAGACGATTTGCACTTGCAAATTACAAGTAAATATAGTGTGACTTACCTTAGTCGTCAACGGAAGTTATAAAAGAGTTCTTGGGAAAAACAAAATTTAAAAATACTGCACACTTAATTGAGCATCATACATGATGATTATGATTTATTATAGTATTTTATATACGTTAGTGCATGTACCGCGGACGACCAAAAGAAACTGTTGATCACGCGGATCAAACGTCTGTGGAGGGGCATATCGCGGGTAACATAATATTATGTATATTTTGCACACGACAATTTATCGTGTTAGTATTACTACGGTATTACACCCGAATAGGTATTGGGACGTCATCGTTGGAGCGGTCGTTGGGCAATAAAAATACGGGGAAAAAAAAGAAAAAAACAATGTCTCCCGCGAGTCTTTTCGCGTTTTTTTTCCACGTCTCTCGACATTCTGTGGGAGTTTACGCGTACATAATAATAATAATAATATTAATACGCGATGATAATATATATATTATACCCACACTCAAACACACACGCGCGCGTACGACCGAGTCGAAAATTCGCGATTGTCTAAGTTTAGTTTTACAATACACACCACCGCCACCACACAACCTCTGCAGGCCGGTATTTCGGTTAAACAGTGTTTTTTTTCGCGTAAAGTAGACGGAAAATAGCTGTACGATCTTCGTCCAAACAGTCTTATTTGACAACCACACCGAGACGTTGCGTTTGGATCGGTATCGCTGATTGTTTTTCAACATTTTCACAGGAAAAAAGAACGCTGCAGAAAACTGGAGGACTATCTCAACAAGAAAACCTGCCAAGCATTAGCGCTGCCACGATGAAAGTGCAGACCGATTCGTTTAGTTCGGAAAAGGTAGATATATATGCGGAAATTGCGTTCTGTTCATTACACTACTCTATATCTATAATAATAATATTATTATTATTTATTATAATTACCTACAACGAAAGAAACGATATTTTTCACGTCGCTTGAAAAAAATATGTCGTCGATCTGTTGCGATTGCAGTTACAAATTACACGTTTTCATTTCGTCTGCCATGACAATCGATAGTAAATTATAACGATTAGTAGGATTAGTATTGATTGCTAAGAAAGATTTGAAATTTATAAAAAAATAAAAATCGGAAATCGAAACATTGATGTTCGCGCTTACGGTCATCGACCTGTGTGGCGCCACGTGTTGATGGTGTTCATCGATATTAAAATATGTAAAAACTGAAGTGGACCACTTATTACAATACGCGAGTTAATCGTATAATACCGTGTATATTATTTATCTGCTTATTCTTTGTTTAAAATGTTAATACGGTGAGTCGGTGTATGGTATTCTGAGTGGTAACGTAATGCTTCGATTTACGGGTTTATCTCTCTCTCACCCCTCCCTCACTCAACGCACGGTAATGGCACCCGAAATAAGATAGCACGTCGATATCGTTCTTATCGATTTCACCGTTTTTTTAGGCCTATCCAATATCCGACATCGGTACAATATATTGTCAGGGCGCCATCTAGACCAAGTACGATAGGCGGTAGGTTAATTGATATTTACCTATATAAGAGCGGTTCGTCAAATCTGAGCTCAGTAATTACTTGTACATGGTTGAGACAGTGGCTGAAATGACGAACGGATTATGTATGCTACTGAAAACGATGGCCCGTGAGTTGTTGTGTCATCATCATATCGCATCATGTCTATTGTCTACTATCATACCGTTAAAAGTATAATGTATATTTTTTTTTTAATTAAAGAAAAGATTATACGTGTTTTAGTGTTTATTGAAAAAACCTTATTGACAAATAGCACGATGTCTTTGAGATCACACACATCGGCTTTACGCCCTCCCCTTACTGCTTATACCTCGGAGTTGTAAGCTCAACGATATTTCAGTTGGGATATTTCGGAGAGTTCGAATAATTGACAAAAATACTATAAAATGTTCAGTGCAAATTTCTCAGTGGTTTCACTTTAGTTATTGGATGGTTTTTTAATCAATTTATTATTTTTAAAAATAATCAAAATAAGGTACCTATCATTGAACAAAAACAATACTTGAAGTATAAATAATTTTTCAAACTTTAGTAACTATATATTATGGTCAACGCCTCATAAGCATTTGTTACTGGAAAATTTGTTATAAAATGTAAAATAAAAAGTACTTACCTACGATTTTTATATATTTTTTTAGATTCATCATGGTTTTATTATTTATTTATTTAAACCTGATAGTTAAAAAATTCCAAATATTTATGTAATTAAAACAAAAATCAGCTAGTTATTGTTTTTGAATAATTTTGGTTGTAATATTATAGTTACCGCATTGCACTTTTTTTAATAGTAGGTATACGATGACAAAGTAGACGGGATCGAAAGTAGATGTGTGCTGTTTTTATTTAACTCGAGCTCTGCAACTTTTCGCGTTTAAATATTTAAAAAACGTCTTGTAAAAAATGCAAGTACATACTATACTAAAATTAAACGCACAGGTGTAGTTGCAACAAAAATGCCCATACTACTGTGCATAAATTATGCAGATATGATATTGTTCATATGTATATGTGTATTGGCCACGTTGAATGGAAAATTACAAAACGCGATAAAACGGATGTCGAGTGTGGTGTGTATTTTAATCGATACGCGTGCGTAACATTGAAATCGGTACCCACTATCTACCTACAGTATTATTGCGCGAAGTTCTGATTACAATAAATGAGTGTCGTAATAATATAACACATGATATTATTATTTAATTTACTTTTGAATCAGGAATTTAACTGCACCGTGGTTTAACCTTTAAACAAAATTCAAAAGATATATGGTACCTATCTACTAATATTTCGTTGTAAAGTGAAAAATATACGTTTTATTATTATATTTTAAATTTTCTTAGTTTATTGAGAAATGGATAAACGTAATATTATTATTATGTGGTATAAGACTAAATAATAGAAATAATTATGAGAAATATTATTAGCTAATAAAAAAAATAAGAAATAGTAATTAAATATACCTGCTTACATTTAAATAAACAATATATAATAATATATTGGCCCTAAAATGTTTTATTTAAAGAAATATTATATGATTATTATAACATTTTCGAAAAGATTAAATATTGCTATATGAGATTGTAAGCTCGGACATAATATATTACTATAATAGTTTTACTAACTGTAAATTATTATTTCTAGAAAGCTACGAGTGAACAACAAAGACAGACAATAATGTCCTCAGGAATGTTTAACCAAGGAAAACATATTGCTCAGTCATCAAAATCGAACTTTACGTTCACCAAAAAAGGCATTTGCACGAGTTCAACAGCCGTGTCATCCGCCACTTCACAAGTAATAATTTTTTTTTCAAAACTTATTAGTTTTGTAATTTATTCGTATAAATATTGGTTCACTACCTTTATTAATACTTTGAACAGTGTTAGTAATTCGATTCTAATTAAATTTCTAGTCTTCTCACAACGGGTCTGCTTCTGGTGGCAGTGGTTCGTCACCACCATCGACGCATGTGATCAGGAGTGTCGACGATCTGTTAAACACAAACTTCGATGACCTAGACCAGATGCGAGAGATCGCGAACACTCAAGACGTGGAGAACGCCATTAAAAAATATTCACTGTACCTGGAGAACGCCGTCAAAGGACTGATGAGCGGAAAGTACGCCGACGCCAAAGGCCCGATAATGCTTAACAAAATGTTCGATATGATTTGCAAGGCGTGGGCAGTGCCGACATACGAGCTTGGTTATGCGTTGTGTAACACATTCCGGGACTGCGGTGGAATGGATTTGTTGATCAACAACTGCGTGTCCAAAGACCAAAAACTTCAGTTCTCCAGTGCTAGGTTACTGGAACAATGCCTGACCACAGAAAATCGCTCCTATGTAGTGGAAAATGGACTGGAAAAGGTCGTACACGTAGTGTGCGCGTACAAGAGCCAAGTGAGCTCGGCCGATCAATCTAAAGTCAGTACTGGTAAGTAACATTTTTTTCATTCATTAATCGATTCCACCCAAATATTATATTCAGAATTTTTCGTTTCAAATTCGTGACGGTCTGTGCTCAAATATTATCGAAACAGGTGGTGTAAAATATATTTTGTAAAAGAAAATTGTTTTTTCACTTTCCAAGCGAAATATAAAAACTATAATACTATATTGGTTTGAATTAAGACAATTAAATTCAAAAATTGTGTTGGCTATAAAATATTTATTAAAATTGAATTAGTATTTATAAAAGTTTATTTTTAAGATGCACTCTGAAGCACATGATATCCAAGGCTTACACTACCTATATAAAAGTGATTAAATATATTTTTGTACTTAATTTTCTATATTTCGTTTCGAATGTGTTTGGTCAATACGAGTAGATATCTAAATAATATCATGACAATATATATTTAACATTGTATGAATATGTTTTAGGAATTCTCGAGCATCTATTTAAACACAGTGAAATGACATGTAGCGATGTTATCAAGCTCGGTGGCTTGGACGTATTTCTGTACGAGTGCCGTAGACGAGACATCGCGACCCTGAGACACTGTGCCGGTGCTCTGGCCAACTTGTCGCTGTACGGAGGTGCCGAGAACCAAGAGCTGATGATCAAGCGCAACGTACCCACGTGGCTGTTCACGTTAGCCTTCAACACGGACGACAATATCAAGTATTACGCGTTCTTGGCCATAGCCGTTTTGGTGGCCAACAAAGAAATCGAGGCGGCCGTGCTCAAGTCCGAAACCCTGGATCTGATCGACCCGTTCGTCACCACCCACACGCCGTCAGAGTTCGCCAAGTCCAACCTGGCCCACGCCCACGGCCAGAGCCACCATTGGCTGGAGAGGTTGGTGCCGGTGTTGAGCTCAATCCGGGAGGAAGCGTGCAATTTGGCCGCCTTCCACTTCTGCATGGAGGCCGGCATCAAGAAGCAACAGGGCAAGACCAGTATATTCAGCGTGATCAACGCCGTCGAACCTCTGAAGAAGGTGGCCAGTTGCCCCAACGCAATAGCGTCAAAGTTCGCAGCACAAGCATTGCGGCTGATCGGTGAAGAGGTTCCGCACAAGCTCAGCCAAAAAGTACCACTGTGGTCACCCGAGGACGTCCGCGAATGGGTCAGACAAATCGGTTTCAGTGAGTGCTCCAAAAACTTCGTGGACAGCCGAGTGGATGGTGACCTGCTGTTACAGCTGACCGAGCAAAATCTCAGGGACGACATCGGAATACTCAACGGAATCATGCGAAGGAGGTTGGTGTACAGTCACTATGTATACAATTTTTAAATATTTCAATTTTCATATAAACTTTTTGCATGCGTATTATATAACAATTTTATAAATATTTATAATTAAGACAATAATTATTACACTTGTATTATAATATAAACCTACCACCAATATTGTACGTGACATGCGTTGAGCTTAATATCGTTTAATTTAGTTAAATCAAGTAGGTTCAGTGGTAATGTTAATATATTAATAATAATAATTACGATATCTGAAATCGACAAAAAAATATTCGTGTATGGCTAAATGCACCTTCTTATAATTTATATATTAAAAATAAAGTTTAACTTTGGATATATATATATAGACAGAACTTTGTAAATTTGTAATCCAATTTATAAAATTAATTAAATGTATTTTATCATAAATCGTTGATAAAAACATAATTAATAAGGAGATGGTTCACATTTAAGTATTAACCATTTGTTTCATACTTTTATCGAAGAATTGTTATGCAATTTATAAAATAACTTTTTCACTTTTATAATATTATTCCATCCGTCGTTTTCAGGTTTATGAGGGAAATACACAATTTGAAACGATTGGCGGACTACAGTAGTAGAGACACGACAAATCTGAACTCGTTCCTTCAGTCCATAGGTTCGGAGTTCTCTGTGTACACTTATTCCATGTTGAATGCTGGCGTCGATAGAGATTCCATTAGGTAAGCCATTTAACGGTCGTCTGGAATGATAATTATTATTATTATTTTACGTCAAATCAATAAAAGTTAATTGTTTTTGTTTTAAATTGTTCATGTTCAATTCTATAAAAAACAATTTAACGAAAATCGAATAAAAAGAAAAAAAATACTCAACATTTGTTACTTATTACGTTGTATTTAATTATTTTCATTTTATTTAATGTTTTAGATTCTTATCAGAAGAACAACTCGTACAAGAGTGTGGAATATCAAACAGCATTCACCGGTATAGAATACTAGACTCGATAAGAGGTAAATGTTGTAACAAATCTAAAATTGAACGTGCTTACAAATATCGTTACTTTTTATCGTTAACAGACATGGAGACGCTAATGGATACATCCTCTTATGAAGAAAACATGAACAAACACTTGGACGTTTTTATTAGTTACAGACGATCGACTGGATCTCAACTTGCGAGGTAAGGGGATTGTATTTCGCTAGGTTGATGCTAATACAAATGTGAATATAATACCCATTATTCAAAAATGTCACGCTATTTCATGAAAACCACCGGATGATAATAATTGATTTTATTTTTTAGTTTGCTCAAAGTACATCTACAACTTCGAGGATACTCAGTGTTCATCGACGTGGAACGTCTGGAAGCCGGCAAGTTCGACAACAACCTGTTGCAGAGCATCAAGCAGGCGAAAAACTTCATATTAGTGTTGACGCCGAAGTCATTAGACAGATGTATCGGCGATAACGAATGCAAAGACTGGGTGCACAAGGTAACGTCAACCAACAGCCGTAATCTATATATATTTAGGGCATTTTAAATATAAAATTGGATATTGCGCATTTTCGTGTTCTATATTTTCTACATTTGTTTTCAATACAAAATCTAGACCCTAGCTCGTTTTTCTCCACATATCATTTAACTATAACATGACAATGTCTTGAATCGGTGGGCTGCGTGTTCAATAGTCACTAATCGCTTGGTGTCGTTTTACAGGAAATCGTGGCTGCTATACAGGACCAATGCAATATCATCCCGATCATGGACAACTTCGCGTGGCCCGAACCGGAAACGTTGCCGGAAGACATGCAAAACGTGTGGAAGTTCAACGGCGTACGGTGGATACACGACTATCAGGACGCGTGCGTGGAGAAAGTGGAGCGGTTCATGCGGGGCGAGCTGAGCGGGATCCGGGACGGCGCCAGTTCGGGGCTGTCCCTAAACCGGTCTGGCGGCGGCGGCATTGGCCCGTCGACCATCAAGAGCGACCCGTCGGCGCCGAACACGCCGATGACCGTGGGCAGGTCGCCGCCAACGTACCAGCGGACTCAGTCCAACGACAGTGAACGGGACCTGACCGGTAGCAAAGATTGACTAGCGGGGAACACTTCCAGGTATGGGACAGTGGCCGATGTTTTGCTTTCCCACCCGAACCGGTTGCTACGTTTTGTGTCCGTCCGCTTGTTGTTGTCGTCCGTCCTGCAGCGGCCTCCAAGACTTCATGGTTAGGTGGGTAACAAACAACCGGGCACTTGAACCCTGATAGCGGTTCCACGGGTTCTTTGAAATACATACGCGGTTAAGGTTTCAGTATTTTCAATGTGGTTTTTTTAAGAGTTGAAATAAAACATAATAATTCTATAATATAGGTACCTAACTTTAATTAATACTGTATATACAATATATATGCTGTGTATGCCACTTTCTAAAATCAAGTCATAATTATTTATATTATATCATGTAGACCCCATCCCCCACGTATATTTATTTTAGTCAAACTAGTCGAAGAGCACAGTTTTATTTTAGGATTTTATTATCTGTTGTTTAAATTTGAATACCTTGTGTCAATTATTGTGGCATTTTATCGTTGATTACGTCATGACCAAAAGGAATCGAAATTATTTTATTTTTATTATAACATTTCCTATAACCCATAAGAACATAAATAATCCATCCACATAAGATAGTGGTTTCGGTTTTGGTTCTCTAAACACATTTCTTTAACATGAATGAAACATACGGTCGAATGACGTTTTCTTAAAAACAAAAAATGTTGAACACCTTACATGTAAATGATTACCCGTACTGGGTAGATTATGCATCATACACACACACACACACAAGTATTTATAACCTTCTTATTATTATTTTGTCCAGAGTAGTTTTATTATAATGTATGTCTATAGTTCTTTCGCTATTTAACATAATCTTATGGCGCCTGAACCTCGTGGTACGCGTTGTGTGCGGTTTGAAACGATTGAATTTAACAAAATATTTGCTGTAATTGCCTCGAATCGATGAAACATCTGACATCGGCCTTATTAACTCATCGATGTCTATTGTTTGTACAGATACCGGAAGTGTTCGAGATTACCTGCTTGGAGGCCACCAATGAGTCCAAATGGTCGGGGAAAGAGTCGGAAACGAGCCAAAAGCGTGGAAGGTCTACTAGAGACAACCGCCGAACCGGATCCGCGAGTACAGGTGCAGGCTCAAATGAAAAAAGCAAAGAGCTTGGAAGAGTATCTGGACACGTGCGAAGAAGATGTCGAAGACAGCTGTAGCGTCTCTGCGTCTGTCAGCGACAGCATAAAAAAGAAAAACTTCGTCGACAAGTGTATAAACAAAATGAAATCATTTATAACGACCACCAAAAAGACTTCAACGGACTCGAAATAACGAATAGATTTATTGTATTATATGGTATAGTGTATTATAGTGTACATATTTTTTTTATGCATATTGTAATTATTTTCGTTTTTACATTTTTTTAAAGTTTATGTTGAACCGATATTTATATATTTTTTTAAACCTATACGTACCTATATTATATATTTTAATTTTACTAGTTGTTATTATCATTACTATTATTACTATTTTCTCTTTTGTAATTATTATGTTTTTATACGAGTTTATACGATTTGTTTGCGTGTTTAAAAAATACTGCATTTAACATCATATATTCTATTATAGTATATTATCATATTATTATTATACAATTTGTGCAATACCTATTATTATTATGATTTATGTGGATACTTATTGTGTCGACACATATTATAAATTATAATCATAGATGTTACAAACGACTACTAAATAATATTGTAACCGTCTTTATATTTCGTATAAAATATCGATTGAAGTTAGCAGCTACACTAAGCAAGCAATTTTTACATTTTGTACATATTATTTACGTATATACCTACCTATCAATGTATATATCTTTATGAGTAAATATTGCCTGCTTGGCAAAAGGCAGTTAACTTCAAAAATGATAATAACAAGACGACTTTGTCTGTAGTGGCTTATTGTGAAACATATCTATGGATATAATATTGAGTAGGTATATATTGATTGATTACATGTGATTTAAATGTTTTCAAATATAAAAGACATCAAAACAACATTTTATCATAATATTTTTTTTTAACTATTGGGTATAATGTACATTTTTGAATGTTTGTCTATCTTATAGTTGCCAGTTACAACTATAGGTGTAGTAGATTAGTGTTTGGTACGTTTTTTATATAAAAGAGTTCATTCTCTGCCTGGTTCTTTTTTAAAAAAAAGGAATTAATTTCTTTCTTTGTTCCTTAAAAAAAATAAAAAGTCGTTCCTTTAGAAAATAAACGAGATCCTTCTAAAATCTTGGAAGGAGTTTGAACACCTTTTCCCCTCATATTTCATATGTATGCTATCAATTATGTTTTGTATAATTCATTAAAAATACTTGTTATAGGAAAAAGAAAGATGAAAACGTAAATAAAAAGTATTGTTTGATTAATTTGATATACTTCCCTTCAGTACATGATACATCAATAATTTGTTTTAAGAATGATTACGTCTACTTTTATTTCTATATATAATTATGATTTATGACAGTGAAACAATTACCTGATTTTTTTAATAATAACTTTCAGAATACTGATGTCATCACTAACCACTGAGCCGAAACTGTATTTTTGTTTAAAAAAATCGAGTTTTTGGTGTTAGTTGATAGATATTTCAATTATTTATGGATTCCTATTATAATGATAAAGATTTTTCTCATTAGAAATTCAAATAAATATATAAGAAAAAAACAAAGAAGGCTATGTGTACATAAATTCATTAAAATCAGAAACAAACGGATAGGCAGTATGTCTAAAGTACTAGAACAAACTAAAATGAAATAAATGGCCTGGATTCTGGAGTTACTGCTTCCAAGTAATTATTGTACTTGCAAAGCAGCGTGTGTCCAATAAAATTCAAATTTTTGGTTTAAATGCAACATTGGCCCCGAAATATAATTGATATTTATACTATGTTACAGGTAACTTGACAAAGAATAATATGTTACATCCATTTAAACAAAAACAAATTAAATTAAATATGTTATGTGTGCTCGTAAAGTGATGACTTAGAATTGTAGGTATTTAAATTAGATTATGTCACATGTGCCAACATTTTTATGTTAAATAAATTTGTGTTAATTTCCATAAAAATATATTTTAAAATATATCTAAGTGCATCAATTTATCAACACACATGCCAATGATATCAGGAGGCATTTGGCATGTAACGTCAAATAAAAGTGCATAGTTAGCTGTACTTCTTTTCGTCTACTGAAATTACCTGAAAACAAACTTAAATGTTTGAAAGAGCCTTCTGTAATCATGTAATACTGCTCCACGCTCACAGGGTGGCACCACTCTTTTTTGAAAAGTTTAGTGCAGCTGCACTGAAATTGAGCCCTTCAGCCGGCCACTGTTAATAGGTAATTTTAACGTTATTTTAGCATCGAAACATCAACAAAATGAGTTGTAAATGAATTGAGCTAATGTTCTAAAACAAAATTCTCTATTTTATCAATTAAACTACTTACTGGTATTATATGAAATCAAATACTTACAACTTCCTAATTTAACTAATTTTTGGTGTTACTATGATATAAATATCATAATTGTGCACTAGAGTCTACGTTTTATGGTGGTTGATATAAATAGCAGCTACTTTAAATAAATAGATATTTAGTAATGTTGTTTGGAGTCAACATTTCAAATCAACTACCTACTTTATTTGTGTGCGTGTTGATTACTAATACTTCTTTTGTGTGCATGCTACATCAATAATTTTTTATAAAAGTGATTACGTATACTTTTATTTCTATAATATAGGTATAATTATGACAATGAAATAATTGACCGAATAAATAAGTGACTAAATAAATATCTTTCTACATATAGACATCTGTAGTTAATAATGATATATCATGTAAATATGTAATTTATGATTTAATTCCAGGTAGTAAGTTATATTGAAACTACAAAACAAAATTTATATTGTTAAAACCAAAAACTCAAAAACTGGGAAGTCATTATGTATATATATTATAATTCGAGTAACCTTGTTGGTCACTGTATTGGTCAAGATAAAATGGACTATGATGGATGTGGACGACGGACGTGCTCAATTCGAATTCAATGATTTATCATTGGAAACGAAAAACAATGAGCGTAATGCTAATCTGAAACGCAGTTACTGTGTTATTATGAGAAAATTTTCAAACACGCATAGTTTATTTTATCAATCATTAAACTAATATAATAGTGAATTTCTGGCATAAATTTACATATCTGTTTCAGTCAAAAGGTTTACTAAAAAATGTTAAATTAATATACAAACAATAAAAACACAAAAGTTGGTTTCCCAAAAATTTAATTTTTGTGTTATTTCATAATTGCCAGTAGCAGGGCAGATATGACTTGGACGATTATTGAGAGCAAAAGACATTTTGGGAGAAACAAGGTGGATTTGCGATTTATTGGTATTGCGGTATTTTCAGTGGCGATGTTTTGGGCGTAAGCGATATCTTACCGTAGATATTTTGTCGGTACTCAGCATATCTCAAAAATGTGTCTACGAGATTTTAATGAGGCTTAGAATCTTAAAATGTTGATTGCATTTGTTATCAGCATCCTGATAAAGGTATTCATGAATGAGATTTGTAAATGATAATTTGTTGATCATTCGAGACCAATAATAAGCTTAGGTATATTAATATAAATGAGGTGTCGCAATGCAGACTACGTTGTACAGTGAACGTTGAACAATAGGGGTCATCGTGTTTTAAATTTTAAATTGTGAATAATTGTTATGGTATTATGGTTATTATGCACAATGTCCCAAATATGTAGGTATTTAAAAATAATTTAAATTCATTTCGAATAATTTTTTTTTCAAATTTTTTTTAAAAATTGTTTAAAATTAAATATGACTTCAATATTTATAAATACTATACTGTGTAAGTCTACGTCGTATGCCTATTTAAATACAACTTACATTACGTAAAAAAATCATATATGGTATTAAATTTAAATATGATATAAATAAACAACAAGGTTAATTTTGTGTGGTATAAGTTATAGTGTAAATGATCACATTGTAAACACTTTTTTCCCCATGTCAAATCGGAGTGACCATTTTCTGAAAAACTGATGATTTCACAGTATAGTTCTGTATTTTATGAAGTGTGAAAATGACGTTTCTATTTCATGGAGTGGGCATGAAATATATGTAGAGATTGTTGTCATTATAACTTTTGAAACAGTTCCGACTTACCCTAGAACAGTGTGAATAAGTGCATAGTATAAATAGCCAATAGGCAATGACATCAAACTAATTTTGACATCAAGAAAAAAATTCCAGTGGACGTCATTGTCTAATATAAATATAAACGTTTATAAGAAAGTAAATTATATAAACTTTCTATCGAGATAGATACAAAAAAACTAGTTAATAACCAAACAACTTAAATACTATAATTCAGATGTGGAGTTTTTCAGTCTTATATTCAAATGGTTTGAGTGTCTATATAAATACGAGAAAGAGAAAGCGTACAGGGTACACGCACTGGATTATTTTACTAAAATTAAGGGTGTCAAGAGTTCTCTGACTGACCGTTTTTGGGGCTTGTAAAGTCTACTTGAAAGCTCGGAGTTGATGGCCACTACTATCTTCTCAGTTGTAAATATAATAGAATTACAAATATAGGTAAGAAATAGAATCTGAAATAATAAGTCACTACAAAGTATCGTATAATTGAATTAAAATTTAACAGATCCATTACAAATAGTGAGGTCATTATAATAAGACATAATAATGATAATAATAATAATAATAATAATAATAATAATAATAATAAAAATAATAGTGACTCTACTCGTTTTATTAATAATAATATATTATATCCTATTATGATACAGCAGACCGAGTTCTGAAGAATTTTTTTTGTAATATATTTTTAGAGAACTATTTTTATGACATAACTGATTGTCGCGTCATATCATTATTATATAGTCATGTATAAATCGTATTATGAATCGTCGGGCTTACAATAATATTGATAAAGATTTTATTTTATATCAATAATTGTTATACCTATATTTATGATTATGTAAGACTTTA